GCAGTTCTATCTGAGCTCTGGTACGAGGTAGCGTCCAATCTCAATACTTTTTTCCTGAGTTGGAAGCAACGAACAGCAGTAAAAGTCGTTGAAAATGCATTGCAATACATCAAAATGTATGCAGCAGGAGTTTGAACCAAAACTGCCATGGGATATTTTAAAAATGTCGAAGAACAAGTAATTCTACCTCAGAGCAAGGTTTGGAGCAATTTATAGTGCTTCTACAACTAAACAGTACCTTTTAAAGAATAGCACGATAGGCAATCGGCTTTTGTTTTAAGAATTAGAAAACGTTGAATTTACTTGTCACGAAAATTCAAACTGGTGGCTCCTTCTACCCGATAGTAATTTATTTTTGAAATTCCAAAACAATTTCACAGCTGAATTTTGAGCGACTTTTAGTTTCGGACTTCTGCTCCAACGATTTTTCTGAAATTCCTCTGGCATATTTATTATATCAATTAAAGCAGATACCAGAAATTTCAGTAAAAAATATCAGCAAAATTTTTTACTAGACGCGATTTTCTTTGAACAGTAGGGTCCTTTTAAGCACTAATTCCTCGAGAAATATTTACCATCAGTGAAATCGGAATATTTCGAATTATTGCCTAATGATATCTGTTGTTCTTTGCAAAGTTTCGCAGCCATCGCGTTAAAAACCAAAAAGTTATGACGGAAAATTTGTCACAGCTAAATGCTCTTGTATTAATTACGGAGCCACCTTAAAGGTTGATTGATTTGATTCACTCCAATATTCCGGCCCAATTCGCCTATAAATTCGAAGTTTCTGTCCCATAATGACCATAATCAATATTGCAGTATGTGTTTCCAAGGGAATCAAGTTTCGTGGTACTTCTGTGGATTGTGCAAAAAAGCCCGCGAAACGACCCACAGAAATTGGAATCTATCCATACCAGTACCTCGTATAGTCGGTAATTGTTTTCATCGTGGTTATGTCCCCACGCGCGTCTTCTTTGTTTGAAGAGTAACTGATGGTGACATAAACTACTGTGCAGTATTGCAAAGTGTAGCCTGTTCGGAGACGTTGACGCTGTGATTAGGTCTATGATTCGACATTATTTTTCTCTCCCTTTTACATGGAGTATCTCTAGTCAGTTCTCTAGGGGTTTCGAGACAGCAATTTGATGCGAAGGGAAGGAGGCAAAAGCAGATACCCTTACCGACCTTTTTTGGGTATTCAATGTAGCGTATTTTATTCTTCGGATTTTCACTGAGAATTTTTTGTTTTTTTTTTCAATTCGGTCACCCAAGCAAGCCTTTTTATTTTCAGGATAGAGTCACTACGTTAGAACTGTGTACAGACGGTAGGCACAACGCCGATCCCAAAACTTGTTAAAACGCGAAGTTGACGTACAATAATCAGGATGACCGAGGAAGCAGACTATCAGTTGTGTTCATAACAATATAATTCATCTTTGTCTCATTAACGTAGATAACTGGCTAAAATGTTCTCCGGCCCACATAAGATATTACTTAGCAAAATATACAATTTACAGATACTGGATGCTGATCAAGTAACTCAAGTAAGGAGCCGGGATAAAGTTGCAAAATGATGTTAAGAGGTAACATAACTCTGTTACCCTGCCTTCCCTGCATTAATAATTAAGACATTCACAATTTTGAAAAAAATTTAGCAAATACGTTTCGCCTTCTTGCTTCTTTCTTTAGAAATGTGCTTCCATTTAAATTTAGAAATTGATCAATGGATCACCGACACGAACCAGCTGACGCACAAAGCAGAAAATATCATGTTGAAAACTTCCTGATTCATACTCTAATCGCTTCACAGGAGCTAATGAGCAGCTTTCGTCAGTTCCTTTAATATTATTATACGGAGACTATTAAACTTCATTTGTATCCTAACCCTTCGCTACTCTAAACCATTTTCTGTTTATATTCTGCTTAACAGAATATGAATTAAATCTATACAGGAAATGCATTCAGTCTTTGCTCATCAAAAGTTGCGGAAACAGTTGGTGGGAACTTTATAATGTAATATTTGTACGTGGGACAGTTTTTGTACATGTTGTCGTTGTTACATCACATCCCCTGAACATCGTTCAGTTTAGGTTTCCTATAATTTTGCCTGCGACTAATTAGGCGTAACTCAATTGGGCTTGTACAGTCGTTATTGAGACAGGGCAAAGCGTAGCAGGCGCGGATCTAGGATAAATACTGGCCATGCTTAAGAGAAACGTATTGGTTTTTAACTGCCTAAAGTCCCTTTTCCTGAGTTCCTAAGTTATTTAGGAAGGATGTTGACCAGTTAAGCCTAGCAAATCGACAGATTATTTAATCTATAGATTTCAACTTGGAAAGTTTTTTTATTATTACTTTAAAAAAATATATTTATCAGTATAAAAAAATTTGACCGATTTCCGCAAAATGGTGGGGAAACCGGAGTGGATCCGCGCCTGCGTAGTTTGTGAGTGTTAATGACGATTTACAAACGTGTTCTCTCGAAAACTTTATTATGCAAAAAAAGAAAATGTAATGGTGGTTATGACACTTGAACGACGCGTGAAGGATTACAGAAAAAGGTAAAAGGGCGCAGTTTTGTTTTTGATATATATCGTTACAATTTTCAAGCCTCTTCTCAATAGAGTTTTATCTCTTCCTCCAGCACTAACGTAAGTATTGAGTAAATATTTTTCTTGATAATGCATACCGTGTGACACGAAATTTTTGCGGAAGTTTATTTTTGCTGATTGGAGCTTTTTTTGTATTTTGCGATAACTACTATTTGCGATTAGGACAGATTGGTTTTTTTCTCCGCTGAGAATTAATTTTTGCGATTTTCAGAAAGCCCAGGACAAATCATTGATAATATTTGATTTTTGTTTTTATTGAGAACGAGCAACAAAAATGCATATTTTTTAAAGAATACTGCGGTGTTCGTACCGTACTGTGTAAAACCAGCGACAGTTTTGCTCGTCATTTTAATCATTTTGTTTCTGAACGAAAGAGGCGAGTTGTAATTGAAAAGACACAATTTCTTAGCATTTTTGTGTGTAGCGAGTCTAAGTTTGAAAATATTTACACTCTGGAGTAAAAAGAAAAACGCTTAGAAGGAAGAGGGTAATATGCTACGCATATAACAATGAATAAAAGGGTTAGTATGGCCTCTTCTTAGTATTGTATTTTAGACGTTTCCGTTGGTCACCGTTGTTGTTTCGTAAGGTCCCAAGGTAGTGGGGCTTGTTATATCCGAACAGCGTTGATGTAGTCAATAAGGTGAAAAATTGACCGTCTCGCTTAAAACTAGTTCAAGGAGAAATGAACGCAGGAATTCGAAATCACCGCAGAAATATATCAAGCAGCCACTTGCTCACGATCAAGTAAGTGAAGTTCAGTCAATGTGTTTTAAGCGAAGGAATGAGTAAGTGGTAACACTATGAGCCCGTCACTGGTTAAGTCTCGTTGTTAAATGCTGCTTACATGTCTCGAAATCTCTACTCTGGATCCAGAGGTCCGTTTTCCCAAAACCCTGTGTTAACTCAGAAAGTCAGAAGTTTTTAAGCTTTTTGGAAGCTTAAAAAATTCCCTTTTTCGGGACGAAAACTGGTTAGCTACACCCGTCCAAATTTTAGTTTTAGGATTACTTTACGGTATATCTCTTAGATATCATGCCTCGAAATACCAAGAAGAATTGGAGAGAAAAATAACCAGTCTTTTCGAATGGTATTAAGAATCTCCTTTTCCCCCCTAAAATTTCAGAGTCAATTTTGGGAACATGAAGAAATCTTAGTTCTCACTTGTAAATTGCGTCTGTTTATTGAGTGGACCTGCTATGGTGTGACCTCCTTGATATGGGGCTTTTTACACTGAAAATTACAATAAGAGAAAAGTAAGAAAGCAAAGAGATTGAGTAATAAGAGCCACTAAAATGGCATGGAAACTCTCCCAAATGCCATACATACGAGGTTTACCTCTGTGAACATTTCTCGTCTTCTGTCTTTGAACAAATACATGAAATACAACAAACGAAACAGCTGACAATTCATTGGTCCACTGAGACACGTTCTAACCAATCATCAGGAATCTCAACTTGTTATTGCATCATGTCATTTATTAGCCTCGAACAAGCCATTTCTTGATACTGGGCAAAAACAAATGTCTTCTCGTAAGCAACCATGTTATTGGTAGATGTAAAAATCCCTGACATCCGTATTTACTGCACACGTAACCTCTTTTCAAACGTGTTTGTAACATGAAAGTGTAACGTTGATTCAATACGGATAAATAGCTCTTTGGTGTAGCAGAAATATTCATTCTAATCTCAGCTCCTAGAGTCAGACTGCAGCAACACTAAAACTGAAAGGTTAGTAATAAATTCGTTTTGTTTCTGATCTTAATTTTCCCAAGCATGATTTCTCGATCGGTTTTGATTAACTTTGGAAAAGGCTGAAAAACTCATTTATTTCAAATTAATTATTTTATTTATATATTTCCCATTCCATTATAGATAGTACCAGATAGATTGCAGACAACGTTAGTGCTTGAGTCATAGAAAGTTTACAATACGTGATAAAATACAGTTAAGATCATTACATTTAAATACTTTAGGCACAAAGAAGCAAAAAAAAAAAAGAAAAAAAGGCCAGAAGCGCAGATATTTGCTGGGCAAAACTTTTTAAAGCTCAAGCTTGCAGAAAATCGCCGGCAAGTACTCGAGAGGCCGATGGACTATTCAGAATGCCAAGTTTTTTGGTACTTTAAAATAAAAATCATTCAATACGAGCCACAATACGAATATCAATTTTAATGTTAATATTTTTTAAATATTAAAGTAAATAATTATAATGAATTAAAATATTTGTTTAATTTATTTTTGATGTTTGAATTAATAAAACTTAATATATTTCTGTGTATAGAAACCAACACGTTGCATTATCAATGATATTGTGTCACTCAGTGACTTACTCTTTAACACGCTTTTTTTCCAGGACCAAAGATAAAAGGAAACCAAAGAGAGTAGTATGAAACAACCACTGTACATCGCGATTTATGCCCTGTTGATTACTTTGTGTTCCACGAAAGGCAACAGCAGCAACAACAAAACCGCTGGGAAAGAGGTATATTACAAATTAAAACAAAATTTTTGAGTTTCTATTTCTGATCGAACTTCTAGCCCATCGCTTTGACAGTTTTATCAAATCTACAAGACACGTTTCCTGATTACCATAAACTGCCGCTTGTAAGCTCTGTGCTTATACACCTTCGTAAGGTGTTTAAGCAAGGCTTATTAACGGAGGCCGGCTTATATCTGAGGGAGATTATAACCGGTCGGACTAGAAAAAGGGCATCGGCGTGAAACAAGCTATAGCAGTGCTAACCAACGTACTTTTTGCATTTACTGGTTTTAAATTAATCTTCACGAAAAAAGTCGGATTCATTTCAATACAATCTAGAGGAGGGGTTACATCCGGGGGCTTATAATCGGAGGTTTTTTTGCTTACATCTAGATGGGCTTATAATTGGGGGACTTATCAGTGAGGAAGGGGTCGAGGGTGGGGGGAGGGGGTTATAAGCGGCAGTTGACGATATTCTTCTTTTATGGGATACAAGATGGTCAGTAGCGGATCCAATAACTGGCCACACAAATGAGTTCCTCTGTCGGGGACTCTCGGAACCACGACATCATACCCGCCAGTCAGAGAATTAACTACTATAACAAAATGCGGAATTCAACGGAGGCCGAAGGCCATGAAGTTTTGTAAAGAAAGCTGTAAAGCACAAGAAGCTTTTGCGTATTATTAAAGTAAACTTTCCCCCTAAGTTTCAGTTTCAGCCGTTGAATGTCCGTCGTGGGACGCAGACCCACTCCATGATCTCGACTGGACCACGTTTTGCGGGACATGGTGCTAGCGTTTTAGGAAACTATCTAAATCGTTCCTCCATCTCTTCCTTGATCTTGCTCGGTTCCTTGTGTGCCCTCCTCACCTGAGGACATATAAAATATCCTCTCTCAGAAGTCAACAACCCCATTGTTATTTCTAATCCTATTTCCAATCTTTAACACGTCTTATTAAGATATAAGTGACAGCGACAACAGGAACGAAAAAAAAATCAACAAATATTATCAGGCTATTTTTTTTGCGTTACCAAAAGCAGTTAGTCTGCTGATTTATTGACCAACTAATGCGTTTATGCTCCTTAATAATAGTGTGCACAACAGACTTCATTTGGGTCATGTTGTCAGAGTACTTGCTGCTCCGCACCAGGAATTCCAGGGATCCCAGGAATCCCTGGACCCGCGGGACCACCTGGCAATCGTGGACCTGAAGGACCCACAGGCCCAAGAGGAAACAAAGGTGATGAAGGATCTCGTGGAAAGCAGGGACCTAAAGGAGATACAGGACCCTCGGGTTCGACGGGCCTACCAGGAAACAAAGGTAAACCGGGCATCCCTGGACCCGCAGGACCATCCGGTAAAGAAGGACCTAAAGGAACAAGGGGACAAACAGGAAACAAAGGGGACAAAGGATCTCGTGGAACGCAAGGATCTAAGGGAGACACAGGACCCTCGGGACCAGCGGGTAAAGCAGGAAGCAAAGGTGAACCAGGTGCTCGTGGTGTCCAAGGTCCACAGGGAACCCTCCGAAGTAATTGGAAACAGTGTGTATTTAAGAGTATGAATGATGAAACAGACACTGGTTTTATCAAGGTAAACACTTAACTCCCAATAGATTTATGCCAGTGAATGTTTCGCTCTTTGTCTTCGCATATGGGTGTGAATCGTCCTGGCAGGATTTCATATAATCCTACAAATAAACACGGATAAATATGATTGAACTGGGGAAAGTAAAGTCTAGACACTAAACGTACCCATTTAATAACTTACGATTCATATCAACACTTTTTTTTCTCCTAATCTTACATTTTCTTAAAGGTTATCAGAGTACTCAGGTTTAAAATTTCTTTTAATACTATTTTAGGTAGTAAGTTGTAATGAATATTGATATTTATTGTTTGTTTTAAGACTTGTAAGGACCGTCATTTAACAATCGTTTAACAATTGTTTAAAGCAATGACAGATAAAAAAGAAAAGAGGAAGAAGATAAATGTTACAAAGCTTCACGAGGCCGTTAGGCCATTATAACAATTTTCAATTTAAGCGTTATTTTAATAATTCCATAGGAATGTATTTTCAAGAAAACATCCGACAATACAGCCTTGCGTGTCTTCTGGAATGGCGATTTCCGTGTCGGTAACTGCCACAATTGCTGCAATCGGTGGTATTTTACCTTCAATGGTGCAGAATGCTCGTCCCCGGCAGCCATTGATGGTATATTTTTAATGTATCAGGGCACTAGCTGGCAGAAAAATCCACATCGCCGACGTCACATTGAAGGAATCTGCGAGAAGCTCCGTAAGGGCACGGTCCGCGTGGGATTCTGGGTCGGTAAGTGCGTGGGTAAAAAAACTGGAGACGCAGCTACAGGCTGGAACTCAGTCTCCAAAATCTACATAGAAGAGGTGGCTCCCCCACAGTCGTAACTGAAGCAGCAGCTCAATGACTCTCATTGTTTTTCTTTGTTTTAGATTCACTAAAGCTGTTAAGGAAAGGTTAAATGAAAAGGTCGAGAAAATTTGAAGAAAAGGCAAAAAAAATAAAGTAAATGCAACCAGATGATACGGGGTATATTTAAGTTAGTATTTCACCTTGATTTCTCAGGGGTTGTCATACCAACAAGAAGTGTGTGTGCAAATAAAGAAAAATTAGCTGAACAAATGCCGTGTCTTGTGAATTTATCGTAGTTGAGAGTTTGGTTTTTTTTCTTTCGTGTTCTCAGTTTATTTCGTTTTGTAAAATTGGGTTGTCATTGAGCACTTTCCGCTTCACTTTCGTCAGATTCCTAAGTTATTTTTTTTCCTCTTATTTAAAGATTTAAAAGGAGCCATTTTCATAACTTTTAATTTTACTATAACTAACTGCGATAAAATATTGCTTAAAATCATTTTTAGAAATGTATCAGAACGTTCAACTTTTTAAATGACGACGTTTCGACGTTCCAGGATGAAATTATCATGTAAAAAACATTTACGGGTTCTATAAATTGTACCCGAAAAACAATTAGATCAAGAATATGTTAAGAATATGTTACAAGTTAAACAAAGAGTCTAGCACTGATGGAGTTGCTGTGGTTTCATTTTATCCTTGGTTTAAAGTTTATTTCCCTTTGCTTTAAACTCATCTTCATATATTACCATACCTTAAAACAAAGGGAAATAAAAATTGAACCAAGGATAAAACTGAACTATGTCTGAGCATTTAGATTAAGCTTGAGGTCTTTTTTCTTCATCGCGTTAATTAATAAGGCAATCAAACCTTTCGTGGCCATTCTCAAAAAGCGACATTGGCTCTCATTCAGACGACATTTATTACTGTAGCTTCCAAAAAGTGCTTACCGATTGGCTAATGTTTGTACACAACAATGCATTGATGTAGATGTCGGGCTGTGTAGCCAGCAGCATTTAACACATATTACATTAAAATAAATGAACAACGCAATTTTGGTTTACCATTCTCTCGGCTTTATGTCCTGCTCCAATTTTTTCACCACTCACACAAATAGTTTGGAGGTACAATCTTATTGCTGAGATCACGTAATATCCTACGGACTTAAGGAAATTGAACATTTGACTGTTTGATTATTACCAGACCAGAAAACGAGCTCGATCAAAGCAGCACTGAATAATTATAAATAGCAGTGAGGTATATCTAAGTAGACAAGAAGGCACGAAAACATAAAGAACTATTTAAGTTTCTTAAAATGATTTCAACGATATTTTATCGCAATTTTTTTATATCTGACGATTTATTCCTGTTTTTATCCCACTGTCAACAAACTTTTGGAGTGAACTCTCCAAGCCGGCTAGAAACACATGTGGTCCCAGCTTCTTTCTCTCTCTGAGGCTACTGGCGTCATTGACTTATCCAATCAACTATCCAGATAAAAAGAGTAGCCAAAAAAAGGATCAATAGAGATTTCTGGGTAACTGTGCACCTACCTCTCCCATAAGTCAACATAACACTTACTTCTCATTTATGGCAATTTTGTGACTTAGGGATGAGGTAGGAGTTCAGTTAACCAGAATCCCCACGTCCTCTCCAAAAAAAAAAACACGTAAGGGTCACGTAAGGCACCATGAGTCCTTAACCTGCAGTTTATTTCAGTTTCTATGATAATCGATAAAACTAGCAACTGCCTACGGTTAATTTCTCGTTTACTTAGTTACACACGTGAAGTCAATTCTGCATGGTTACCAGAAGCAAGCTTAAATTCTATTTAACTGGATTGCATGTAGATATCAATCACATAAAGTAGGTTAATGCCAGGAATGCTGAATCGTAGTAATAGTCATGCAGTAACACCTAACACAGGCCAACACTTATCAGCCAAGTACCGACGGGTCGGTGACCATTGGTATTGAAGGCCACTAGCTTATATTCGCTATTTGTAGAAGCTGTGCGGAAATAGGGCGAGCCTTTATCCCCACACCAGAAGTCACACTGCTTGTAACAGCGCTTGGTGTAGCTATAGCCGAAAGCAAAAAAAACCGACGTAGAAAGAAATATCGCAGATCACCAGCTGGTACGAGTTACCGATATTCATGGCCCCATGGCCTTCCCATTATTACCATTGGCCTCTAGCTATGAGTGAACCAGTTTTCCGCTTGAAGTAAGCCTTATCTCCAGATATTTGATCAACGAAAATAATTTCATTGAACTGAAAGAAAATAACAAAAAAATATGTTCTTATTTATTGGACGAGATAGAATGGAATTTTCGCATCTTTGACATGATTGCTGTTACGTGAAGTACATTCTCAGGTGAAATTATTAAAGCAATGATAATACAGTCAAACCTCTCTACAACATCCATCTTGGGGAAAAGAGGAAAGTGGCCGACGGCGTTTTCCCAGGCCTTCTCGGTCAATGGATTTCGGTGTCGTATCCGAGGCGAAGCTTGGACCACGTGGCCCGAAACGCACTGGCCGCTCGAAATAATGAGGCCTTGGGATTAGGCAAGCCGTTGTAGAGAGGGAAATACAAAATAACATCGACCAATCGACCTAAGAGAGGTTTTGTGAGCCCGCGAGATTGATAACCCCACAAACCCTTGTTTTCACTAAAACCGCTGGACACAAAACCTCCCCTGGGTCGATGTTACTAACCTTGGGGAGAGATGATAGTTATGGAGAGGTAGGGGTGTAATATGACAAATACAACAAGTTTGTTGTGCTATATTCCTGCTTTCTGTATCCCTTGATGTTAATCCAATCATAAATAATCTCTAGAGAGATAAAATAACCAAAAAAGTTGAGTGATGTTTTGAAGAAGAGACAAGTATTGTATCGTAGACAATTTATTCTTGGTGGCAGTATAAATGGAACACAATCAAAATACGATTGCCCCGATTAATCATGAACGTGTCTTACGCATAAAATTTCATGACCATTCTTTTCGTTTTAATCATCAACAACAACAACATAAGCCTTATTTGTATGACTATATGAGTTACAGTATTGCAAAAGCTTTAAGACAGAATTACAATTTAATATACTAATGATTATACTACTACATGAGAAATTTCTGCAGTTTGATTGGCTTAGAGCAGTAATATTTCAGCTTAATTTTCCCTTGGGACTGAATACTTTGGACAATGAAAGAGAAATTCGTCTTCATCAGTTACTGAAAAAACTGGCCGTTGTAGAGAGGTTTAAACAAGAGTCACTGTATGGACTGTCTGCCGGGACAAAAACAAAGTGGCCGTTGTAGAGAGGGGGCAGTTAGTGGAGATTCGGCTGTACCGTATTTACTCGATTAAACGCCGCTGCGTTTATTAAAATTTTAGCGTTTCTGATGCGACTTTTTTTCAATAGCGGCGCCTGGTTATTCGAGGCAAGAGTTGATTTCAAAATAGCATTTTTTTTAAATCGCTGTAAACTATTTGTAAATATTACGTAAACTAGGGCAGAATAGATGTTTTACCTTGCAGTGCCTGTCTTATTTTGCTGAGATAGAATCGCAAGTACACCCTCTTATTTTCCACTGAATTTTTTTTCTTGCTTGTATACCTCTCATAAAAGCTAAAAGGGGTAGCAGGCCTAACATCTTTACCGGTATGAAACTTTTGAAAACCTTTTATATATAATGCTCTATCTAGAAGAACTAAATTAAAAAGATTTACACAATCCAAGCGAGATAGATTACTGGTACCATTTCGATGTTTTTTTGTCAATGGTAGTCATGTTTTTATATTTTTGCTTCTCGTTAACAAATATGAAAAACGAAATACACTAGTTTCGTAGAGATCACAATAGAAAGTGACCGGGGAAGCAAACAATTAGCCGGGTAGAAACCAACTATTCGTCAGCTACCCGGGAGGCTAAATTATCACTTGGTAGACTGAATTAAACCACTGGGTGGAGGAGTGTGTAATGTCTGGATGGTGTAGAGTTCCGAGTTGTACCGAGTTTATTATTATAATCCTCGATTAAACGCCGCATCCTTCCGATTGGGTGCCCGAGAATGGCTACGGTGTTTATTCGAGGACGGGATCAGGTTATTTGTAAGTTTGCTTCTCCCTGCGGCGTTTAATCGAGGGCGGCTTTTACTCCGGATGGTCTCGTTTAATCAAGTAAAAACGGTAAGTCAAATTAATATTGTAATAAACCAAAATCTAAAAATTTATCATCTCTTAAAGAATGAAATATATCACATACACTCTTTAGAATAATTTCGGTGGACTTGATTAAAATTTCTAGCGACATGACTCTGGTTTCAGGCGATATAACTTCGGGCGAGATGACTTTCGGGCGACCTGACCGGTTACCAACCAGGGTTATATGCTGCTGATGGCACTGAGGCACGCGATTTTGGTTTGAAAACTAGCAATCGTAATCAATCTCGGTTGTACTCGTAGTAAAATGGAAAGGTTGCCTATACTGAAAATTAAAAAGATCTATTTCAGTCTCAAATTGCCAATTCAGTCCTGCAGGCCAAAGTCTGATTCAGCCCTTCCTGGAGCCATTTGAGCACAATCTAGGCCAAAACAGCTCCATCAAAAGGCTAGTATTCCAGACCACGCTGAGGCCCATTTCAGCCCTTGGGTCCAAATTGGCCCAAGGTAATTGGACTGTATTGGACCTGATTTAAGGGAGCCGAATCAGACTTAAAATAGGACGGTATTCTACACACCGAAGCGGCCCCATTTTTTAGGGCTGAGAAAGATCTTTCTGATTTACCCAACCTCGTCCCCAGGGCTTTTTTAAGGGAAAAGCCCTGGGGACGAGATTGTGATTTGCAGTGTATAACGTAGTTAAAGTCAGACTGGGGTGCAGGACTTTTTCCCCGCCTTCTTTCCCTCTCCCACTCCCGTTGCCTTTTTGTCTTCGCCCTTGGTACAGGAGCGTTCTAAGGGACGGGCCGTTAGAAAAGTTATGGGCAAGGGGTGGGAAATTTTCGAGCATCAGGAATTTTTTTTGTTATCA